TTCTTCGTAAGCGCTTACGGTGGGACTCGACACGATCATGTCTGTGCCACAACAATGCTGACTATGCCGAAATGCGAGGGCTTTTGTCTGACGCAGAATGGACTGAGTTATCCGTCGATGAACACTGGGAAGTGGTAAAAGAGATTATTCACAAAACAATCTCACTTACCATCCCTCTAGTCACAACACAGCCGAAGAAAATGTCCTCATGACTGAAGAGAGGTACGCAATGTATTCTGCAAGCAAAGTGGAAGGCTTGGTTTACGTAGCAAATATCAAAGAGTCAGACCGAACACGATGCATACGTGGAACTCGGGGACCGGTGCAGCACAAGAGTCAGTTGTGACAGAGAGTCATTTCAGGCCGATCTTGCCAAAAGACCCCTGGCGAACCCCAAAAGACTTTGCCGATTCACGCTGGAGTGAAAATTGACCAAGCAGGGCATGTGCCTTGGTATGTCCAAATGGCCGATATCTTACTGGTTCAAAAGTGGCTGAAACATTCAGTTTAGCCTTCGCCAAACAGTTAAACTGCTAGGTGGGTATTACCGGTATGAAACAAAATGGCAGCATTGCTATTTTGCCGAAGGAAAACCTAATGGCTGCCTTCCAAATATACCTGGCGATAGCACTAGAGGTGCGTCGGTGGCATAGAGGTTAGGACGCTCGCCAACCGTGCACATGGTCCGGGGTTCAATCTCCGGCCGACGCACTCCTTTACCTCGCTAAGCCAGAAATAATGCTGGTGAAGAGGAAGGGTTTGGCATGAGGCTAGCAACCCCATCCTATAAAATAAACACTGCTACAGAAACTTCAAGCCCCTAGCTTGAAGCCCTATGTTCCACTGGGAAAAGTGAAGGAAAAAATAGCACTGGGGAAGTTACAGAGACTCAAATCTGGAAAGTCTCCACTTTGTGATGACGTCAGACCATCTGCTATGAGACAGTGCGCTGAAGCTCTCTGTATGTCCGTGTGCGACTTGTTGCGACGCTCGATGGATTCAGAGAAACTGCCGAGGGAATGGAAAAGAGCCATCCTTTCTCCTATTTTCAAGAGTGGGGGTAGGCAAAATGCCATCAGTTAGAGACCAGTGGCGCTACTCGCCATGGTATCAGAAGTACTGGAAAGTATAATTGATGATCACATCAGGGGCACCTCAACAGGATTAATAGACTCCATGAAACAAAACATAGTTTCACGAAGGGCAGATCCAATGTAACAAACCCACTATCAACTTGGACTATTAGATATCATGCTGGGACATGAATGTTCCAGTCCATGTGATCTTCCTAGACTTTGAGAAGGCATCTGACATGGCTCACCATGTCCTCCTCCCGTACAAAATAAGTCAACCAAGTATAGGTGAGCCGCTGCTGTCATTGCTAGAAGACTACCCAAATGAAAGGAGATTCTGCACAAAGGTCAATAGATCATCTTGACACAGTTGGTCATCGGAAGTGTCTCAGGGATCTATTCTTGGGCCATTGATGTGTTTTTGATTTTTATCAATGACCTACCATGCCGTCTAAGCCCTGCGAATCTTTACTCTGACGGCACAGATATTTGGGGAGCAATAAAGAACTCGGAAGACTCAGATAGACTGCGGACATATCCAAAGCTTCTGGAAGACTGGGCGGTGAACAATGGCATGACTTTCAACCTGAAAAATTGCAAAGTAATGAAATTACGCATCTGGAGGTTGCAGAATGCAAGCAACACCCTGTGCAACAAAAGTTTGTCCTACGCGTAACTTAGGAGTAATTCAAACGGGGAAAATTGATACAAGAGTGAATCACACGGAGGATATAGCGAGAGCATATGTGGTCATACACTTACACATAGACAGTTAGGCGTACCCACTCCTGAGCTATTTGTAAGTTTGTACAGAACATACGTCAGACCACACCTTGAACTGCATAGTATCAGTGCACCCCCACTGCTCAGAAGAGACGTGAACCTTTTGGAAAGAGTACAAGGACGGGTAACAGAAGGAGTGATGGGTCTCCAAAACAATCGTATGATGAACGGCTAAAACAACTAGGTCTCTTCGCACTTAGCTACCGTCGACTTAGGGGAACTTGATTACTGCCTATAAGATAACATGTGACCAGAATCACCCAAACCAAGGTTTTCTACCATTAGGTAGGTACGGAACTCCTCATGGATAAGTTTCCTTTAGGATCATTCTACATAATTTTATCACTAATCGTCCCACTACCCATTTGACTCTGACAAATAGACTGTAACTTAGTTGCCGTAATATTAACTACTTCTACACTTTATGAATTTTTAAGGGAAACTTAATTTCCTAGTCGTTTTTAACAAATACTTATATAGATGTGTGTATGTATAAAGGTGATACTGCTAAGATTGTCCTCGGGTATCGATGTATCTGTTGACCTAGAGGGAAGCACTTGTCATGAAAGTTATTAATGTGCAGTACACTGTATGACTGAGACTTGCTCAAAACAATGTAATGCAACTACAGTTATTGCCGAAAAACTCAGAGCTTGGCATCAAAATGGAGGCAGGGTATGGCATGCCAATCGTCAGATATGGTAGTAGTCACAAATGTAAATCGCTCAAATCTGTAGGACAGCAACATACATTTTTTGACAGTTCGAGAATTAAACATTAGTCTGGATCCTTAACAATAAAAGAAAAAATAATGGTTGTACAGATCTATACTACAAATAAAATTAGTGAGACATCGCAGAGGTCAGCTTGTTCTACGGGTGTTAATCTTCCAGATCTTTAAATTCACTTCTCAATCAAATATCACTTACCTACCTCACAATAATCTTTTTATTTAAGCACTATTGTACTCTACTTGACCTTAACTACCTAGGCCATTATTAGAGCTAAAACTTGCTCTTTGTTCATATTTGTTGCTTGCTTAAAGTCTATTTGCTTGAGTGGATAAAAAGCAACAACAACACCAATGTTTGAACAAAGCTATCTTTTCATCGGAAACTTCATAGTTTCCATGCTTAGACCAATATGGTTAGCATTAAATATTGCAAGTGTATACTATCATTCCAAGGAGTCTCCAGCTCCTTCTTGTATATATCTTGTAGATTTACTTTCAATGACGTATTATCCACAACTGTATTTTATGCCATTTTGCAGTTTCTCAGGAAGTTCTCCTCTTCCAGAAATAGCTTTTAATCACGTGGTGGCATGGCACTTACCCAAAGGTGGGCTGTTCACTGATTGACCATAACCATAAGCAGGAAACGGAACGAAGTTTGGGTTGTCGCTCAACTTTGACGGTGAAGAGTTTATAGTTCAACATTTATACCAACCTGTTCTGATGGCTTGTACAATAATCGAACAATTTAAACTCTTGAGGAAGTAATAATTTATGACACTTCAGGATTGTAATTTATAACGTAAGTGATTGTGCCTGTAAAAGTGGCATTCATTTCTTGTAAACACCAATTTATACGCAATGTAAATTATGATTATTAGAAGGACTAGCACAACATGAAGCTATAAAAGATAATTTTACATATTAGTAAACAAAGTGAACATATTGATTTCATTAGTACTAAATAAAATTCTCATGCAAATAAAAGTATTTATAGTCCACAGTTGATCTTTATATTGACGCCATATGTATAAGAAGACCCTGTATGTTTTCCAGTATCGGGGTATTATACGCGAATTTCGGGACAATCTTTGGAACATCCATGCTGTTAAGACGCCATTCTGTAGCTTCACAATTATCACTTTCACATTAAAGGAAGCATTGCAAATGTGTAACTTGGAAATGAATCCACAATCTCAGTAATGTCTAGTGAACATGGCTTTGTGAATTCTGTAGAAATTATATTTGCATATTTCGTAAATTATAGCGTCAGTGGCACAGTGGTTAGGACTCTCACCGACCATGCACATGGTCCGGGGTTCGATTCCCTGCCGACGCACACCTGATATCTATGGTCAGCCTGAGAAATTTGGGCTACCGGTATCACATGCTGAAAATTCCATACCTGTACTAAAAAATACGGTGTGGAATCAAGCTGTGATAAAAAATTTAAAAAATATATGAACAACTCCGTCAGTGTTAACAGCATGAAGTACTTAAAATATCATAAGACAAACAGATGTAGTGTTTTGATGAGGATAATAGTGCGACATAATCGTGATACTACACCTGTACTGCTTCATGTGGACGGAAATTTCAGAACAAATTCACCCCCATTATTGGTGATCAAAAACATTGGAACATAGGCTTTAAGTATACATTGTTAGCGGAAATGATACAACAAACAGTAGATTGACCACTATAGAGCTTGCTAGATTTTGTTCTCATAATGAAAAAAGCTCATGTATATAATGATACCAAACACTGAATTAACGCATTATATGAAAAACTGATGCAAATTAAATGAACAGTTACGTTCACCACGACACTTGCAACAATCATGAGAACCATCTGCATCTGTTAGTCTAGCAGTCAGCTAAGCAAACAATGGCGCAACACTAAGTTCAGATACTTTTATATACTGAATCCACATAACCCACACTACAGTGAAGCAATCAGTGCAAATATATATTAAATCCATTTACAGATAACCTTTCAAATTACGATAATTCCTGTCCAAACAAACACACGGTGAAAAATGCGTCTACATCATGATTTCTGTTCTCACAGAAGGTTTTGTTAGCATTTATAGGGGATTTCCATGTACTGATAGCATTCATTTGTCAAATATTACTGTTCTTCACAAGAAAATAGGCTGCGCTGATATCCTGAGGCGTGAACACTTCATTGAATGATACTATGCCGAAAGGTGTAGCTTCTACAAAAGTAGACTATTTGTGTAGATGATATTACGTTGCAAATACCCAATCTTGCTCATTATGGTAATATGTCCTGCTGAAACACTGATCGTTGCAACCAATTTGCTAAGAGTGTACCGCAGTCAGATCACACGGCGCTCCAGACGCAAAAACGATATTGGATATTGGGAGCGCTCAATTCATTTAGTAAAAATGACCTTCGAAAGTCAAGGTCTCAGCGAAAGTGACTTAGGAAAGGATGCCAACGTTTTAATAATGGAGTTGAATAAAGGTATTTTATAAAAATTGCTGTCTCATCAACCTTGTATAGGTTTTCAGTCAACAAACTTAGGGATCCAGTGCAAGACTATTGCACAATTCCCCTCCGTTCTTGAAAAGTACCCATTCCCTGTTGTAATAAATTCAATATTACTCAAAATTACTCAGATTTTCTGTGATGGGTAAGAGCCATTTTTACGTTTATTCTTCAGAAATAATCATGTACGCCTGTGTATACTACGTGCATGTACAGAATGCAGAACTCACTTTAAAAAATTGACAGTGTGTGAAGATATCATCCGTAAATTACTTCCTTTCACAGAAAGCAACGATCCAACTGTCCGTGCTTTAACTCTACGGTAATTTATGCCTGGTTTTAATTTATTCTTACTAGTTTGTTTGGGATTCTGGATGAAATTACGCGCGAACACCTTGGAGTTCATCATGCCATCCTAAAGCAAATCGAATCACATTATGAAGTCGAATCGGATGCAGCTGTATGGGCCTGTCATACAATTGCCCCAATATCTAGGTATCTTGAATGTACTGTTCCTATCTTTTAGTGTGTTTGCTGGCAGTCTTTGCCCCATATTGTGTAAATTACTCAATGACTTGTCTACAGACACTGACACTAAGCTCAAACTTCTGCATTTAGGAAAACATATGCACCATAATTCTGCAGTTTCTGAAGAGGTATTCACAAGTGCATTTATAATTATTGTTTCAGATACGTCGTTGCTTGATCGAGATGCTTAACACATACAATACTACTGATTTCGTTAGTGCCATCTTAGATACACTTACCACTCTAGAAACTCGTGCCCCACTACATGTTCACAGCCAAGTTAGTTAATTTTCAGATAAAATACTAAAGTTTTAAATTTGTTGATAAACTTTCATGACAAAATTTAGTCAGCAAAAATGCATACAAGTCTATGCGAGAGCTTCAACAAGAAAAGTTAAACAGAATCCATAATTACTCCACTTCCATTTGCCGTTGTTTTCGTTATCCAGTCCAACCTCAATTGTTATCATGCATTTTCAGAAAATGAAATCATTGTAAGGAAACAGAACTCTTGGTTTTCGCTCCATCTGTACTCCTTCAGATCACATGTTTAATCTTACATCTGTTTTGCATGACTTACTGAATGCGACTGAGTTCCATCAAGTTACTTTCAGATTCAGATTTATTGACTAAAGATAGAAGGCTTGAAACGTATATTATTCCTTTTCTAACAAATTCCTGTGCTTGTTCAAACCCTTCTTGAATAAATCAATTGAGAGCGCTGACAGCACTTCCTCAACGAATCGGTTCCAGGAGTTTATTACTTGGTGTGAGAATCAGTACTTCACAGCGATATAGTTCCTCCTACTGTTATAAGGGAAAATGTGAACTTTCCAAATTGAAATCTATTAGTTTCCGAGTGGAATATAAGGCTTCAACGGCATATTTCGACTGCATCCTGTTCTCTGTGTTCCTCTTTAGCTGGCTTTACCATTGTTTATAAGTTGTCATTCCCTTCTCAACCGATCCCTTGCATGTCACTTTCGGACACACTTACCCTGTCGTTTATCATTCGGGTTCCACTCGGGAGATAGCCTGGCGCGCAATTTCGGTTGACGATCTCCTCAGAATGTTTCCGGTCCATCTGTATTTCCTTTGCATATTTTTTGGGTGATATGTTCTTATTAGTTCATTGCCACACTTCCTTATTGCTTATTCTTTCTGGCCATCTGGTCTTCAGTATCGAGGCTACAAAGGCAGCTGTTGAGAAGATTTTGCAGTTAGTTTAGCATACTTTTGGCGACGCGCGTTTCAAGTTTCCGTAAAATAAAGGCTTTGAAATCTGAATCTTGTTCTTTATGCTGCCTTCACATGGCGTAGGCGTTCCTCACATACGTGTAAGAACGAATACTAACGTCTAGCACCTACAACCGGACTGGTGAACATGCAAGTTTCTCAGGGGAGTTGCAAAGCCCTGACTGCAAACTTATGATGTTCATGGACTCCAGAATCCGAAAGGACTGAATGGCGTATAACAATATAACTTCTGAGGCTACTTCACTGTCTTGTAGATCAGGGTTGAAGTCAAAGGTTCGCGGGGCGGCCCATTAAAGCAACCACCTGCTTCGGCCTTGATGTCCGAGCAGTATCTCAGCTCTTGTACGAACTATGAGATTTTGTGTAGTACATCTCTTTGTGCCCACAATGTACCATTTTTGTGTTTTAATAAATAATATTAGACATTAGACATATCAAGATAGGATCAGTTCATGACTTTAAAGTTGTTTTCTAGTGTGTATTGTAATTATCATGAATTTGAAGTTTTTATTTATAATTGCATTCCTTTTAAGGTGTTTAAGCTATAGAACTTCAGCCGACTATCCAGGAGTGCTAACTCAAAAGTTTTGGTCACCATATATGTTATCCATTTCCTTCCATGTGTCGCAAGCGAATCTAACAACCACTACCTTACTTTGAGTACCACTAGTGTTTGAAACGACCTGAAAAAACATTGTACAGTTTATTTCTCAGTAATACATACAGGCGAAATAAGCAGTCTGGTTTAGCATAACCTGAAAATCTTATTTGGCTTGTTTCATGTTTCATTTAAGTTCTTTATGCATGTAAGTGGAAAACATGAAAAGGCCGGCTGGCTATCTGTCTTTGATCATAGGTGTCTGCGTTCTATCTCCCGTGTTAAGTGGTATAATAAGTTGAGCAATATTGAGGTTAGGCGTCGAGTGCCAGGCAAGGAGAGGAAATCAATCGACGAGATAGTGAGGTTACACCGATTGAGATGGTTAGGATATGTGTTACACATGCCTAGCTATCACCTTCCTTGACGGGCAATGTTAGCTGAAATAGGATGGATCAGGTGGGGAAAGAGCCAGCTAGTGGTGGTCAAACCAGAATCAACATGGCTTCACCAGTCAATGAAATCCACAACAGTTAGTTTAAGCTAACCAGCCACCTCAGGACATAGGTGTAGACTTTCTAACCGGTTGGGATCCTTGGGATGGTAAACACCAATGACAGCTGGAGACAATTGGCGATATGGCTCAAAATCGTTCTCAATTGCTGGTGCGGATGCATATACTCTTTGTGACTTGTCATATCCAATAAAATTTCATTATTGTTCTATACTACTAGTCTTTCTACCTCACATTTGTGTTTATTGTCTTTGTTTTGAATCTCTCTCTACTCTTTTTTCTTGCTCTGTGTGGTAAATGGAGTTCGGCAACTCGAACTGCTGCACATCTGTGCAAAGTTCTACGTTAAAACCACTCAGTCAATCATGTATGTATTATACTTCTTCGGTCGGTCGGTTTTCGACATAGAACTTTGCACATATGTGCGGCTGTTCAAGTCGACACACTCCCTCCTTGTAGCACACAAAGCAAGAGAAGAAAGTAGAAGAAATGCATATTAGAGACAGTAAACAGAGGTGTGAGACAAAGGTATAATAATAACGAAGAACAAAACAATTTCATTGAAAATCATAAGTCACAAGGAGTGGATGCATCTGCGCTAGCCATTGAGACCGATTTTGAGCCATGTCACCAATTGTTTCTAACCATTGGTTTTTACCTTCCCGAAGACCCCAACGAGGAAGCCAGTCTACACGTTCCTACGTGGCTGGCTTAGACTAACTGTTGTGGATTTCATTGACTGGTGCCATGTTTTGGTTTGACCGCCGCTAGCTCTTTTCCAGCCTGACCCTATATCAGCTAACATTGCCCATTGTCGAGGAAGGCTATGACTATAGATGCATACGTAACACATGTCCTAACCATCTCAGTCGATGTAATTTCACAGCCTCGTCGATTGATTTCCCCTCCCACCTACCTAGCACTCGACCGAAGCCTAACCTCAATATTACTCACCTTATTATACCACTTCACGCGGGAGATAGAACGCAGACACCTATGATCGAACACAGATAATCTTTCCATGTCTTCTGCTCTCAATGGCCAAGTCTCACAGCCATAAAGGAGGACGGAGCGGACTGTTGAGCAGTAGACACGCCCTTTGGTCGATAGTCGGATGTCACGTCTACTAAGCCAGAGACAGCGTAAACTGGCATATGCGAGCCTAGCCCTCTGTATTCGTGCTGAGATTTCGTCGGAGATCAACCCGTTGGCACTGGCTGATGGTACTTCCCAAGTAAGTGAAGTGGTCAACGTGCTCTACCACTTCACTTCCCTAGATTAGAAATAGGAAGTGATAATCGTTTTCATCATATTCCTAAAGTATGTTTCTTTTCTTATATGTATGTATGTGTGTATAACTCTGTAGATCGATCTCCTACTCAAACGGTTGTCAATAGAAAAAAGGCCTCAAGTGCGTCAAAGCGTCCTTTGGAATCTGATTACTCTAGCCGAAAACATACCTCATCACTTCGATAAACCTCATTTTCTTGTAAGTTCTCACCTGTTGATTTTTATATAATATAATCTTCGTAAATTTGAGAATAATGTTATTTTATTGTGTTGGGTTAATTTCAACCGCTTACAAATCCGATGAATTTATGTCGCATATAAAAGAATTTAGTATTCAAATCACTTGGGCATAGAAGTATCTAAATAAGACTAATGTAACGCTCTGAGAAGTTATATGCATACATTTAGTTCAGATATTAACCGAGTGTTTTGATGTTATTTAGAATAAGAGATAATGTTATTTGGGCCTAGCAAAGAAATACGTTAGTGCGTCAGTGGTATAGCGGTCAGGACGCTCGCTGACCATGCACATGATCCGGAGTTCGATCCCCGGCCGACGCACTCCCTTACCTCGCTAAGCCAGAAATAATGCTGGTGAAGAGGAAAGGTTGGGCATGAGGCTAGCAACCCCATCCTGTAAAATAAACACTGCTACAGAAACTTCAAGTCACTAGCTTGAAGCCCTATGTTCCATCGCGGAATGTGAAGGAAAAAAAAGAAATACATTGATGCTGATAGTTGGTAAATAGTTCTACAATACCGCTATGAGTGCAACTCACTTTGTTGAAATGAAAACGGGAGAAGAGGATTCATTACAGAGGTAATGTAACTAGATGCAGGAATAACGTGACCAACACATGTAGTTCAGAAGAACAGCCCATATTGATGTTGGTGTCGTGTTATCTTTTCTTTTCAAACACTTAATAGACACCATAGATGATGAAACTTTTTGATGCTAACTTATGAGACAGTTTTTGTCTCTACCTAATTCTTCATCTTTTTAATGAACATAAACACCCCTTTACCCTGTTCGAACTTGAAAATATCACCAGCTTTGTACTCCTAATTTCATTTTAAGGTCTTTCGTATCTCGTCCGTAGTTGGAAAGTTGAAGACACAAACCACCGTTTGTGTGTGCATTGATGGAGATAGTATTGTATTTATGTCTATCATACGGGCTTTAATAAACTTAACTAACAGGCAGGAAGATTGTATTATACAAATAGTATACGACATTTTTTCTAGTAGCGTGGAAACCGTTCAGATACCTAGAGATATCTTGTTAATGTGTTTTTTCACCGCATCACTTTAAATCTGTTTCTGTTTCGCCCCTGTAAAATGTAAGATACTGCTACAGGACTGGACTACGTCTACCCCTAGCTTAGTGATAGGGAGTGAAGTGATAGAACACGTTGACCACTTCACCTATTTGGGAAGTTGTATCAGCACCAACGAAATCTCAGCACGGATCTAAAAAAGCTCGGGCTGCTTTCTCTAACTTACACCGTCTCTGGCGTAGGCGTGACATCCGGCTATCAATCAAGGGACGTGTGTACTGCTCAGCAGTTTGCTCCGTCCTTCTCTATGGTAGTGAGACGTGGCCATTGAGAGCGGAAGACATGGAAAGATTGTCTGTTTTTGACCACAGATGTTTACGATCTCTTTCTCGCGTTAGGTGGTATAATAAAGTAAGTAATGTTGACGTTAGGCGTAGAGTGTTGGGCAAGGAGGGAAAATCAATCGACGAGGCAATTAAGTTACATAGATTGAGATAGCTAGGTCACGTGCTGCTCATGCATAACCATCGCCTCCCCCACCCCGACGGGTATTACTAGCTGATATAGGTGCAGGTTGGAAAAGAGTAAGTGGTGGCCAAACAAAAACATGGCATCAATCAATCCATGAAATCCTTGACAGTTAAACTGAGTCAGGTAGGGAGATGCAGACTTCCGGGTTGTTTGGGGCCCTCGGGACTCTGAGAATCAATGGCTGGAGACAATAGGTGACATGGCTCAAAATCGTTGTCAATGGCGCAGATGTATTCAGTCTCTGTAATCTTCAGTCTCATATTCCTTTCTAGCATTACTCATTCTGTTTCACTCTTATACTTGTCAAAACTCTATTGATTCTCTTCACTCATTTTCTTGTCTACCTTTGTGTGGTATTTGGAACGTGGCAACTCGAAGTGCTGCACTTCGGTGCCAAGTTCTATGTTGAATCCAGCAGCAGCAGAATCTAGAACACATTTTAAAACACCCAGGCAGACTGTATGTTATATACCAAACAGTGATGGGATGAAATGTATCCAGATTATTGAGTGAATAAGTTCCGATGTAGAGCTGCACAGAAGTGTACCAATTCAAGTTACCGTACTTCGTATAGCATACAAAATCAGAGAAAAAGTTCAAAAGAACTGTAGTGAACGGAAGTGTACGGGAAAGGAATAATTACATAGGAAATCATGGGGAATTAGTGGACCTAGGAGATTACAAAGAGTGATTGCATCTGCACCACTGAGAATGATTTTGAGCTATATCATCAACAGTCTCTAGTCATTGGTTTTTAGCGTCTCTAGGATCCTAGCCAACCAGGCGATTGAGATCTCTCTGCGTGGCTCGCTCAAAACAACAGTGATAGACTTCATGGATTGATGCCATTCTTCAGCTTAACCACTAAATATTTCCAACCAGATCCTATATCAGTTAACGTTGCTCCATGAGGAAAACGGTGACTCACTTTGCGTAACACCTATCCTAGCCATCTCACTGAACTTAGCTGCAAAACCTGATCAATTGACTTGATCTCCTCGACTAAGACTCTACGCCTACCTAACCTCAATATTACCCACCACACAGGGGATGAAGCGCAACCATCTGTCGTCAAAGATAACTAGTCTTTTCAAGTTTACCACCTTCAGTCGCTATGTCTCACAGTCATAATATAGGACGGGGCGAAGTGTTTCTCAGTACATCGTTTTCTGATAGGTGGTTGGATACTTGGACTAATTTATTATTACAACATGATTGGTTATCTTTTCAGATGTAGTGTCATCGTTTCTTTTTTAGGTTTCTCGTTTAACCTGTCATACTTATTGAGAATACCGGTGCTTCAACAGTATTAACAATTGTTATGTTAAGACTTCATACTGTCTTCAAGCTTGAGGTTTGAAGTTTTAAAAGTGGAGGAGTTTTTTCATGGGATGGGGTTAGCAGCCTCGTGCCAAGCATTTCCTCTTAACCAGCGGGCTTACTGCCGGTTAGGTGAGGTTGAGAAGCGCATCATCGGTTGGGAATCTAACCAGGTGCATCATTGGTGGGCATTCTACCCCTGAACCAGCGACTCTGGAGTAGCATAGTAACGTAATATACACATGAATGGTGTGAAACTGATATATCTTTCAAATACTCTAACTCTCCTAATGAATAGTAAACTTGATATATGGCGGACTAACAGAAGTTGGGAGACCGACTGAATGACCATATGTTCGCCATGAGATCTGATCTAAAAAATGTTCACCGTAATGAGCATGTACCGGTGAACAGGATAGGTCAGTTATCGAGAGATTTTTGGTTTTCGACAGTCTCCTAACTTGGGCCCGATTGTAACGAAAACGTTTCTATGTAAATTCAGGTTTTAAAGACAATAAATAATATTGCATCTCTTTTTCTTTCCTTCCCAGGAATTGAGTTCCATTTATCATGGTGAAAGCTGTAGCAAACTGGATAAAGTACTAATACTCCAAATATTCTTTTGTCTAACGACATCATTTCATTCTATGGAATTTTTAACATTACCATCTGGACAACTGGATATTGTTAAATGTAATATAAGTGTTTATTTGTATTATTTTAATTGATTAGTATTATAGTGTATTGTAGATTCATTTTTATAGGGATTGAAATCATTTAGGCCTATCCCCGTTTGTTTTTCTGTAAAGGTAGACGACGAAGCGTTTCGTGGTTCGTTGGTCTATCCCGTCTAAGTTTTTGTTTAATTTTATGTATTACTTACTATTAGTAAGTAGTATATATTTGTTCGTAGAATTTCAGAAGTTTACTTGAAGTTGTTACTTTTGGTTCATTTCTTCTCATTTCGTTTATACTGAATTCATTAATACTGCTCTCTGTAAAACTGTGGATATCCTACATATTTTAGTTGCCTAATTTCATATTTCTGTTTTTACGAAGTTATTACTTGGTTATTTTTTGATACACGTAAATAATTAGGAATTGTTCGGGGCATAGTGATGTCTTAATGTCACACTAACTCAGCGATCGACAGACGAAAGCCAACATGTTGTCAGAAGAGGCAAGTAGCGAAGGCATGACTTTAAGTGAATATAGAGAAGACAGAGGTGACGAAGATACCCAACCAAGAACAACAAGCTCCATTTAATATCAAAGGGAGGGAAGTCACCACTTTCACTTATCTAGGCAGTATCGTTTCGACTACAGGCGGCACGGATGAGGATTTCAAAGCCTTTCAGGGTCGGAGAGGCAAGACATACCTTCAGTAATCAGTGTCAAATCAGTCTAGAAATCTACTGCAATAAGCATAAAGGACAGGAATGGGACTTTCAAGTCAGTCAGTGTTTCTTTGGGATACAGAGATCCGGCGACCAAGTCATCAAAAGTATTTCTAACTGGCCACTGAAGACTTCTATCAACAGCTGCCTCTGAGAGCTCGATACTGAAGATCAGATGGCCGACCAAAAGGGATTAGCAACAGGAAACTCTGTAGTGCAACGAAGCAACTAAGAATCTATCGCCCAACAAATATGCTGGAAAAAAATGTGGATGGTTTGAACATACGTTGAGAAAACAGCTGAGTGAAATCACCTCTCAGGCTATCCAGTGGAACTCGGATGGGAAGTCAGAAGGCCAATGTCTGAGAGTGACATGGAGGAGACGAGAAGTTGAGGGCAATGGTGGAGCCAGTTAAAGACAACTGTGGAGAAGAGGATGAAATGGAGATGTGTTATTCAAGATCTATATTTCATTCAGAACTTAACTGAATATTAACGGCTATAGTGATACCCTAGATAGGTTAAATATATCTTTTTGTATTATGCATATACTCAGTTGAATTATAATTATATTTCAATAGTTTCCACACAATGATGAGTTTTTGTTTTTTGGTAATATTTCGAGCGAAATTACTGCCCGTGTTCACACCAACTGTTGGAATTATTTCATTTTTAATTCACACATTGATGATTAGTACTCGTATATATATATATATATACATATATATATATATTCCAAGTCGTTGACAGTTGTGTTGAGTCACCCTTATTACATGTATCTGGTGTGACCTTAAAGAATATAGATTTTTTAATAATAATAATGGCTTTATTCTAAACAGTATTTGTGGTACAGGTATGGAATTTTCAGCATGCATTACAATATTGCATCTAATTACCTCATAATTTTTGTAAGATTAAAAAAAATGAAATGCAACAACAAGAAAAAGAAAAAAGAGAAATAAAAGAAATAAAAGGAACAGCATTGTATTCACATATTTAAACAATGCACCACAGGATATGAAATATAAAATTAGTTTGTAATAGAATATGTTAGCAACAATATAATAGTAACAAAGAAAGGAGAACAAAAGCTAATGGGAACTATTGTTTAGAGTGCCGCAGTAAGGTGATCGTGTCATGCCTAACAGTTTTCTCATCACATAACAGCTGTGCCAGATAAGGTATTGTGGAGTTTTTGTACTTGGTAGTCCTGGCATATAGCCTCCTATAGTTGCTTCTAGTTCTACCAGATGAAATGCAAGGAGAGAGGTGCGTATAGAGAGGGTATTTGGGGTCAGACAATATAGTATTCGCTAGTTTCTTACATGACATTATATGTCTATCCACAATAGTGTTAACCAGTTGGTTTAACGAAATCCCACTTCCCCTACTAACAGCTTTCAGTGCCCTACGTAGCGAAGCAAAGTCTTTCTTAAGTAGTCCAGGAAAGATTAATGGGGAGCAGTAAAGAGGGATGGTTAGAATACAAGAGTTACTAGTCTCTCTTTCCATTTGTTCCTATTCGTTTTCAGAATACAAATATTGTTCCAATCAATAGTGTGGTTTTTGTCCCATGCATGTGCAGTCGTAGACGAATTTTTTCTAAATTCTTGTAAGCTCATGTTCCTGTGAGATGATGACCTTTAGTTAGGCGTTTGTGTTCATTCACTTTTATTTTGAGTGATCTGGACGTTTGACCCACATATTTAGTCAAGCACTCACAGCACAAGATATTTTGTAAATCGCATTGTTTTTATCCATCATTTTTATTGGATCTTTCGATTGATTTATCTTATTTTCAATCAGATTCGTCGGTTTAAACGTGTTGCGAATCCCAATATTTTTGAGGTTTCTTCGAATCGCCTCTGATGTACCATTTTTGTATGGTATTGTGATTGTTTTCTTGCTTCCTTCCTCTTTCTTGTCATTCTCTGGATCTACCCTCTTTTTTCTCTTCTTTATGTTATCTCTGATAAATTCTTTTGGATAGTTGTTGTCGAGTAACATTTTGAATAAGGCGTTTATTTCTTTCCTGTAGTCGTTTGGCGTTGTTGTAAGTCTACGTATTCTACCTGCACGACCTTGTAGAATGTGGAGTAGGAAAATTGGCAAGTCAGTTCATTCCACGAATCTGTTATGACTAATCATTATCATTTTCTCCCATTTCACAATATTTTCTAATCGATTTCAGCCTAACACGTTTGTCACAAAAATACTATTTATATTTTGACACTCCATAACTAATCTGTTATTCTACGTTAAAAAAAATATCCTCCTCATAACTGGCCATTCTTGTAACGACAACAATTATATTATATTTTATAATTGTAAGAACTTGAAGAGGAATTATTGAAAAGAATATTCTTCGTTCAGATTGATTTTTAAAAATAATATAATTTACAAAATATCTTGTGCTGAGTGTTCGACTAAATATGTGGGTCAAACGTCCAGATCACTCAAAATAAGGGTGAATGAACATAAACGCCTGCCTAACTAAAGGTCATCATCTCACAGGAACACGAGCTTACAAGAATTTAGAAAAAATTCGTCTACGACTGCACATGCATGGGACACAAAAACCACAATATTGATTGGAACAATATTTGTATTCTGAAAACGAATATGAACAAATGGAAAGAGAGACTAATAACAGAATCTATATTCATTAAGGTCACACGAGATACATGTAACAAGGATGAATCAGAACAACTGTCAACGACCTGGAATATAATTCTGAATACACAAAAATGAATGAACAAAAAAGGAAAATGGACTATACATAT